GCCGGGCTCTGGGAGGAAGAAAAGTGGCCAAACACTGATAACCAGCAGACAATGCAGACGGTCCTCACGACCACAAAGAAAACAACAAGCCGAGTCATTCCCTGAGAGCCTCGATGTGTTTAGTCTGTTCGTCTTGGACCTGTGTACTGACTCACATCTAACGCGGTGTCACACATCATAACAGAGTGCAAACAGGTGTAATAACTACTTTATTACAACTGAAATATCTACGAAAATAACTGGAAAGCTTAAACACTTGATAATAAGACGATCACTTTTTGGTGGATAACTGTTTGTCTTATCCAAGAAATGAACAAATATGTTTGGAAAACAAAGGATTGTTGCTTCAGTGATTTTTAAGGAACCACCGGGATGAGAATCGTGGTCACATGACCAACAAATGTAAACGAGTACAGGGCTGCTGTTAACATGTTATCTGATAGATATCCACCGACTTTAACGATTATCATCACGAGAAATAAATCTGTATTATTTTAAAGAATAATCATTTAGTCCATAATTTAAAAAAAGCCCCAATTTTAAATATTAAAATGTCTTGTTTCATACAACTAGGTGTCCAAAACACAAATATATACGTGTTTAATATCATAGAAGACTGAGATATTTATCAAAATATTAATATTTGGACAGCTGGTGCAAGTGAATTTTGGGCATTATTGCTTAAAAATTGTCACTAATCAGTTAATTGTTTCAGCTTTGTTCAATTCTATTTTACACGTTTTGACAAACAAATGACAAAAATAGTTAATTTGAGAAATAAAATTACCGTAGAAAATAATGTGTCGTCTTTTTTTACTACTGCCGCACTGTGTTTGGGCTGAGCCTTCATCATCATCACCATCAACATATATATAGTATTAAACGACACAAAGGAAACAGTGTCGTACGTGTTGTTTTTCCTTTGATGCTATCCCGTCATGATTCAAAGAGCCCGAGGACAACACGCCGGCCCATACACTACGCTGCTGCTCGAGGGTGCAGCATGTGACGGTCTGTTGACAGAGTGTGATGAGCCTCCAGTGACTTCATGCTTCACTCGTGTGTTTGTCTGAATGATGCCCGATGTCCAGAGAGTGCATGAAGTCAAAACCGCCCTGCGAGTAACGACGAGTACACACGAGGCGCAAACCGACGCCATCGGCATTTTTTAATTCTCGTAAATGTCAGAATGCTCTTCAGCTTGTTCCATTTGCTATAAAACACACCCTCTACATTTTATTCATAAAAACACTTTTAAGAGGGTGATAAACTATGTTCTTTATTTCCTCTTTTGATGTCTGCGGTTACTATTTCCTGCGCTGACAGCCAGTGCGTCATTAAAATTTCATCTCATCTAAAAAGGTCACGTCCTGATGACTGAAAAGGGTTGTATAGAGTGCGCGTGCGCACGCACGCACACACACACACACACACACACACACACACACACACACACACACACACACACACACACACACACACACACACAAACACACAAACACACACACACGTACGCACACACAGAGAGAGATGGAGAAATGTCAGAACATAAAGTATTGATGACTCTTATAACCATCTATTCAGAACTGAACTTTCAGAGTAAACAGTTGAAAGTCTTGCAGCAGATTAATTGTAAAGACCAGAACCTAAAGAAACACACACACACACACACACACACACACACACACACACACACACACA